TTTCAATTTTTATAAACAAAAGACTGGCGACGAACTCGAATTGTTCTTCTTTAGAAGCGAAGCTTCTAAAGACTCCTTCTTTTATTTTATTTGCAAGTGTTTGCTAGTTCCCATTGTTGCTCGTTCGAAACAGTTGACTGACGAAAGACCAAAGTAATATAGGCAAGCTACACCGCTTGGCGTCGGTTCATTTGATTTTTAGTCTAGCTGTAATAAGTTCTTGTTTATTAATATTAGTTTTGTGATAGTTTTAAGTGCTTGTTCATTACTTACAAAAATAAAGAACGAACCGAATATAACAATACATAATAATAATAATAATAATAAATGTTTTCGCTTTTCCATCGTGCCTCCACACCAAAAATCCGAGAGTAAAAATATAATAATAATAATAATAATAAAAGGAAATAAAATCTAAAAATGTATGCGAATATATATAACTCGATATACAATCATTCTATTCGACAAACAAACAAACAACAAACAAAAAAAAAACACTTAAAACATCTTAGGTCGTAACATGATATCACACTCACTCACTCACTCACATAATAATAATAATAATAATAATTTTTCCAAAATTTTCCAAAAAAAAAAAAAAAAAATTTTCTAACACAATTTGTTATCTCAAGTGTAAGAACGGAAAATTACAAGTATTATTATTATTATTATTATTGGAAAATCAAGTAATGCAATAATAGAATGTGAATGTTAATTAATTGATTATATGTCTCACAAGTTTTCCGCGTCCGTCCATTTTGTTTTAAAAAACTTTTACGTAAAAGAAAATTCGTTTTAATTTCACGGTTAAAAGTTTTTCCATCCATTTTTTTTTTTTAAATTTAAATTATCATTTTATTTTATGCACTGATAACAACAACAACAACAAATCTATTAAATAACTTTCTTTTTTTTTTTAAATTTTATAACAATAAAATTAAATTAAAACAACAATTTTTTTGGGGGGTGGAGAGAGAGAGAGAGAGGCGGAAGGGGAGAGGGGTACAAACGTTATCTCTGCGGTTTTATATATTCTTATCAATTCGTATGATTTAACGCCCTTAAATTTTTACCATATGCTAAACATTAACTGGTGGCGAAATCGTTTTCAAAAAAATTCGTTTGTCGTTTGTTTGTTTGTTTGTTTGTTAATTAAAAAATAAAACAAATTGATAAATTTATAATTTTTTTTTTTTATTATTCGTAAACGGACATAATGAGACCAAAAAAAAAAAAAAAATTACGTGGAAGGAGAAAGTCAAAAAAAAAAAAATGATAACGTGGAAGGAGAAGGCCGAAAAAATGTTTTTCATAGTAATTAATCAAATTAATTTTTTTTTCCGAGAGAAAGAATTATGTAAATATAATAATAATAATAACAACATGGAGTTTATCGTGTAGTCTTCTGACACGAAAAATTACTTAAACTAATCGTTTATTATTAACTCTACGTAAAAAAAATAATAATAATGATAATAATATTTGTTTTTCACGATACGACCGAAAATTTTTTATTACTTTCAATGTGTGTGTGTGTGTGTGTGTGTATTAAAAAAAAAACGTCATTTGTAATTTAGAGTTCAAAGGTTAAAACGTAATAAAATAATAATAATAATAATTTAAATTTGTTTTTTTTTCTCCCCCCCTCTCTCTCCCTCCCTCTTTTATTATTATTATTATTATTATTTAATAGTTAATAATTTAATTTTAAAACAACTCGAAAAATTTTTAACGACGAAACGAATGATGATAATAATGATAATAATAATGATGATGATTTTATTTCTTACTTTTTTTTCTCTCTAACCGTCAGGTGTAAAAATGAATTTTTATTTATTAGACCGGAAGTTGATGAAATTTTTTTTTGCAAAAAGTGAACCGTAAAATAGGAAAAGAAGGGAAAATTGTCTGGAAAATGGATAAATTAAAAGACGAAGAAAAAATTTGTCGTTTTTGTCCGTGTTTTATAATAAACAAGAATTAAAAAAACCGAAATTAAAATGTCGGAAGAAGAAGACAAAGATGAAGATGAAGCAGAAGAAAAATAAAATAAATAAGAATTAATTTTAAAGATTTTAAAACCTTCTAGAAAAAATAAGAAAAAAAGGAACGGAAATAAAATTTATTATTATTTAATAATAATAATAATAATAATAGAAAGAAAAAATTTTCCTTTTTTTAGAAAACCATTCTATTATTATTATTATTATTATTATTTATGTATAATAAATAAAATGGCGGATTTTTTTCCATAAGTAAAAACACAAAAGAAAGAGAAAGAAATTTTCTTTTTTGCAAATTTATAAAAAAAAAAATACCCGAAAAAATTTAAATTTAAATTTTTTTTTCTAAAATGATAATAATAATAATAATAATAATAATAATAATAATAATAATAATAATAATAATAATAATAATAATAATAATAATTTAAAACGGATTTTTTTTTTATTTCCTTTACCTGATACTAATAACAATAAAAATAAAAAAATAAAAATTTTTTTTTTCATGTCCTTTTTTCTTTTCCTCCCTTTGATTTACATCACAAAAGAAAATATACAAAACGAAACCGGAAAACCTTCGTAAAGGAACAAACGAACAAACAAACGAGAAAAAAAAACAAAATTGTTGTAAAACAACTACAAACAAAAAAGCGGTCGACCTTATATCGTTTGTTAAACAAATGACAAAGAAAAAAAATTTCTGAACAAACAGGTAAAAAAGAAAAAAAAATTATTTTTAGATTTTATTAAATTATTATTATTATCATTAAGTAAAAGTGTCATTAGACGATTAATAATAATAATAATATCAAAAAAATATAAATAAAATTAATAAAAACTTACCTTAAAGGCAGGAGGTCCAAACAATTTATTTATTTATTTATTAATTTTCCTGTCGTTTTTCTTATTATTATTATTAATACAATTATTATTATTATTATTATTCGATGCGTTTCCGTATCGTTGGAAAAACTTCGTCTGATTTCTGTGGTAGCCTTTTCACCTGAGGATTCCGGAATAAAATACAAAAAAAAAGAAATACGGACAACCGTTTATCCAATGAAAATTTAGTAAAATTTTTTTTTTTTTTGTATCCTCACGCATGTTTGTTGTAACGGTTTTTTCCTTTTAAATTTTCCATCTTTTTCTATTTCGTTGCACTTTTTTTAAAAAATTTACTCCAATAATTATTATTAAATAATCAATAATATTACTTAAGTAATAATAATAATAATAATAATACACCTCCATGTTGATGATTATTTTAATGCGGTTATTATTATTATTATTAATAAACAATATTAACGACTTTTTATTATTTAAAAAAAAAAATTAATTAAGATTTATTACTGAGTCGTTATACCGGAAACACTACTGGGAAGGGGAAAAAAACGTTAGGGTAATAAAAAAAAAAAAAAAAAAACTGAATCGGGATTATTTCCACAGCAGACGATTACGAGATTAATAACATTTTCCTTATTCTTTTTTTTATTCCGCTTAAATGCATAAAAAACATTTCTTTTGGATTTATTTATTTATTTATTTATTATTAATAACTTTAATAACTATTTATTAACTTTTATTTAAAAAAAAAAAAAAAACAAGAAACAAATCGATAAATAAAATTCGATTGAAAACGCGATAAGTTTTATGTTTACGTTACTTATGAGACGCCATTTGAAAAATCACAGCCTTGTCGAAAAAAAATTTAAATTAAAACCGTTAAATGTAAATAAAAAATGAAATTCTCTAACGAACATCGATAATAATAATTATTATTAAATAAATATTACCGTATTGTAATTAATAATAATAATAATAATTTTATTTAATTTTTTGTAGAATAAATAAAAATTTAATCGTAAAAACGTTGCAATTTGAAAAAAATGCGTTAATTTTTATAATTTTTATGGCGGAAAATATATTTTTATATGGCCATGACGTTTCGTTAAAGGAATTAGGTAATAATTTTTATTAGTTATTTTTTGTTAGTATTTTATTTTTATATATAAGTTATAATAAATGATTATTATTTTTATTTCATACGGTTTTTGGTCCAAAATGAAACAATATCATAATACAAAAAGGAAATAAAATGTTGATTTTTACAGTTGGGTACAATTTTTTGAAACAAAGTTTACGGATTTAGAGATAGTTTTATGTATTTGAAAGAAAAATTCAACACAAATATAACATAAAAAAAAGATTTATTACGTTTAACATTACTAAATTAAACATACAATAAAATATCTTTCAACAGTTTAAACGTATGATGTACTGTAAATTATTAAAAATTATTCTTAATTATAAAAATAACACTAACGAACACAAATAATTGTTAAATAAATAAAAATAAACGTTAAAAACTATTTAAAAACGAATTAATTCATTTACAAACACATTATGCATCCATTTACTTCATATAATTCATTGAAAGTATGCACGATATGCAAAATTGCAAGCTTAGTGCCACGACTGTGTGTCTAACGCCACGAATCTCTTGTTTACAAAATTTATTTACCATCAACCAAATATAAAACAAATAAAACTATTAATGCCACGACATTTCATTTAATATTATTTATCAAAAAATAAAATAAAAAATTTATCATCGATACGTTTAAATAATAAAACCGGAAGTGTGGCCGTCAAAACAAAATAAATAATAAAATCTTTCATCCGTTTATAACTAATAAAAATAAAAAAAACGACAATAATAATAAATTTAATTGAACCAACTTAATATACAAAATTAATAACACAAATTTGTCTTCTGCTTCCTTTTATCCGGAATGATGCTTTCTTACTCAGAGTGACGTCGACGATGACGTCATAATCCCGTTCACCGTGCCTACAATTTAAATAAAAGTTTACTTAAAATAAATAATAATAATAATAATTTAAAGTGTATATTTCTTTACCTTTGTCTTATACCCTTTTCCTTTGGCAATAGTCCGTTGAACGTGAGCAAGAAAGCAGGCCGGGACAAGTGCAATATGATCAATAATTAAATGCATAGTTTGCAAATGACTCGGCCTCCACTCTTAGCTCTCGGTGTTATATTTCTTCTTTCTAAGTTAAGATAAAAAGATCCCGAGGAAGAAGATGTTATGATTCCACTCCAGATAGGCCGGGACAAGTGCAATATTATATAATATATTTAAATATTGCCACCGGTCACGAGCCATCCAAAGGTATATATCCTTAAATATTATCCTTCTTATTATTTCTCAATTCGAATCTAAAAAAACAAAACAATAATTTATATATTTCATAAGCGTTTAATACAATCCTTGCCAAATAATGAATTAAATTAAAAATCAAAACACATTTCACCAACTATTATCATTATCATTATTATTTGGCTTCCATAACTTTAAAACAAAGCCGATAAAATGAGTAAAGCGTGCTCCGGGAGACCCACCTTAAATGATTACCATTTAATATAATGTATCACACGCCCCGACAACGACTGGTATTATTATTATTATTAATTTAAGGTATGAGTGACGTTTCGGTACCTTAATGTTTTTTAAAAATGTTTTAAAGCCCACGTGACCTTCGACACTTCAAATCACTTTGAGAATGAAACGTCGTGTAAATATCAAACGATGGAATAATATTCAAAAAGGGAAATTTGTCGCGAAAAATTCAAACGAAAGCCGTCGTTATTAAAATTAAAAAAAAAAAATGGCGAACAATTACACAATTTACGTTATTATAATAAATTAAAATTTACACGCAAGCACGCGCACACACACGCACGCAGTCTAATACAAATTATTCACGGTGCATTCCCGTGGAAATTTAATAATTAAATTACGTAATCGAATAAAAAAATAATGATAATAATAATAAATAAATGAATAACGTTTTGCTTTTTTTTACGGCTTTTTTATAGCAGATTATAAAGCGCGGTTATTAATAATAATGATAATAATAATTTATATATATATTAAAAAAAAACACGTTTGGCAAATGACGAACCGAAAATAACGCACGCGCGTGCCTTTTGCAATTATTTCGCCATACTATACACGACCATGTCAACTATATTTGGACAACTTTAAAAAAAAAAAAAAAAAAAAATTAATACCAACCTTACACAAACTTCAAACGACAACGAATGACTAAAAAAACTAAAAGAAAAATAAATAAAAAGGATCACACACACAATCACGTGACCAATTTTTTTTAAATAAATAAATTTTCCGACCAATCATCCGTGAGTCCGACGAACAACTGAATAAGAAAATGAAAAAAAATTTGCGAGAGGGGAAAAGAAATGTTGAAAAAAAAAAAAAAAGAGATACAATTGTCCAACAAACAAACAAACAAACAACAGACAAACACAATAAGCCTTTTTTCTGCTAAATATTAAAAAAAAGAAAAATCGGTCGCCCTTTTGGTCAAATTTCGCAAATGGTCATTTAAGAAAAAAATTTTTTTTTTTTTTTGCAAATTTAGCTTATGGAGAAACGATTATGTCCTTTGTAATAATAATAATAATAATGATGATAACAATTACCTGGAAAATTTCAGGTAGATTTTTAACCACTACGTTTATCTTTCGTACCTTACGCCGCCCCTTCCCCCTCCTTCTAACAATAAGGGGATGGTTTCGAGAGGGGAGCGGAGAGGTGAGGGGGGAAACACGAAATGTGAGATGAAGATTTAAATAAATCTTTTATTGAGATAAAGAGAGTGATAGATAGAGGGGGGGAGAGGGGGTAGATTTTTCATAGAATTTTTCCTACCTTTTGTGCGCGTGCGCGTTTTCTTAGTTATTTCACAATAGAAATCCGACCGTTTTCCTTTTTTTCTTTTCTTTTCTTTCTTTTTAAACGTTCCATCTTCTCATTCATTTTTTTTTTTTGAATTAAAAGTAAAAATAAGCTTACCTTTTTTTTCTCTCTCTATCTTTTGTTTCTCTCTCTCTCTTTCTCTCAATACTTATTCAAATGTCTATTTTTTTTTTGTTACCAAAAAAAACTCATCCAAATATAATTTCCTTTCTTTTCTTTTCTTCTCTTCTCTTCTTCCAAACTAATTGAAACCTTTTCGAAGAGTTTGTAGAATAATAATAATAATAATAATAATAATAATAATAATAATAAAACTTCAAATTTCGTTTTTGACATTCATCCGGTGGTTTCTTTTTTTTTTTTTTTTCAAAAATAAATTTTTACCTGAAATTAAAAAAAAAAAAAAAAAAAAAAGTTGTAAATGTTTTTTTCTTTTCAAGGTCGAGGGTGGTTGGTTGCAAGGGGGGATGGTGGTGGTGAAAATGGTGGTGAAATAAAAATTGTTTGTTTTCATCACATTATTTTCTCTCCAGGTAATAAATAAAAAAATATTTTTTAATAATTCAGGGCAAATACTCCGGTTAAGCAGGACACACAATGCGACGCGATTATAATTATTATTATTATTATTTATTTTATTACACTTTAATTACCGACATTTTTTTTCTTTTCATTTCGTCACATTTGGCATCATTTCCGACCGTTTTCATTCTACAATCCGTGCGTACGTATATATCTATACAAGCAAAACATTAAAAAAAGATGGCGAACGTTTTCCTTCGAAAAACAATAATAATAATAATAATAATCAACAGGCGGCATTTCAATCGTTAATATCATTTTACAAATTATTAAATTTAAATTCATATTTCCGCAACAACAAAAAAATGTCTCGTTAATAAAATACGCATATTGGCGACAAACTGTTGATTATTTACGACATAACGAAACTCGTACCAAAACAATGTTTTTAAATCTTTCTATTGACACGTTCTCCCGAAAACAAAACAAAACAAATCGTTTCGATTATCAAATGATTTAGGATAATAATAATAATAAAATCATCCACGCATATAAAAATAACCGTTTGAAACTAACAATGAGATCAAATCAAAAAAAAAAATTTAAAGGAAAATTCTATTTTCACACATTAGTATTATTATTATCATTTTTTTTGTCATTTCAAACCTTTATTATTATTATTATTATTATCATTCAAAATAAGTTTTTTTTGACAAAAAAAAGTTTGAACGTCAACTTTTCAAAAAAGAAAATACAAACAGCTTAACGTCGACCATTTAATTTACAACGAGTAAAAAAAAAAAAATTTCCCCTCGGGTTTTTTTTCCAGGTACAAAAGGATCATTAAACTTAAATGTCCTTCTCCTTGGATAGAGAGAGAGAGAGAGAAAAAAAAGAAGCATAATAATAATAAGCAAACGAGTTTTAAAAAAAAAAATGGTTCAATGATCAAATAAATTATTTCATGTGAACACATGCGTATTAGCGTGCCATTTTTTAAAAATCGATCGAATATTATTATTATTATTATTATAGGTATTTCCCCCCCCTCGCAGATAAATTTCCTAAAACGAAACGAATAGAAAAAAATAATAAAGATCTTCCTCTCTCCGAACGCTGAGAAATCCGTTAAAACCGTTCGTTCGTTTCGTTTACTCCCCGCCATTTTTTTTTATGACACGACGAAAATTTCGTATCGTTATTCGATACAATCGATCAATCGAACGCAATAAATAATGACGTCGATTCGATTAAAATTTACAAAAAAATTTAGATTTAAATAGAAAACTCACTTTGCCCGTATGAACTGAACTTTAGCGTGGAAGTAGAAAAGTAAAAAATAAATAAATAAATAAGTTTCTTCGGTTAGCCAATTTAACGGTTGGATTAAAACTTAAATGGAAAACTCCGGAAGAAGAAAAAAAAATAAATAAAACGTGGAATTAGACGACGTTAGAAAGAACTCGCGGTCATAATCAAGCAGGTGTTAAAAATAAATAAATTTTTTTTTTTCCTTTTAGAAAATTAAACTTTTTTTTTTTACCTGACAACTACTACTTTAACATCCGTTATGTAGATTTGTGTGACCCCAAAAAAAAAAAAAAAAAATTAAATAACCACTTAAACGCGATAAAACAACCCCCCGTCTCGGTTTCATTTTTTAAAATAACCAGTAATTTTTTCCCAACAGATTTACGCGAACCGGCTGACACGTTTTTTCCTATTCATTCTTTTCGAATCCAAAAAAATTGTTTAAAACAAAATTGGAAATTTCTAATAACCCTATTTCCGCGCACATCCGAACTCTTTTCCCCCCTTCGTAAAAATGCATATAGAAAAAAAAACAGGAAAAAATGGTTTATAAACAACGTGTTAAGGTGGTCGTCACGTGACGGTTAATTTTTTGGGGGGTAAAAATCTGCAATGGGACGCCATATTGATTTCCAAAACGATTCCTCCAGATTTACTGCATAATGTTCACGGTATTATGAGCGAAATGGATGACGTCACTTAAGAAATTTCTCATCCGTATAAAAACAAAACAAAAAATAAATAAATAAACTCACCCTTGGGGAATTTCGATACTTTCATCCGCGTCGAATTTAAATACCCAAAACGTTTCTTCAGCACTTCATACACCTAACACGAGCTCCGATGTGTTTATTGTGCGAGTATACTCATCGTCACGAAAACTTGACTGCGAGTAAAATACATATTTGTGCTTAGATCGCCAGGTGGTAAAGGCCAGGTCGTTCGGGGCATATGGCGAAGGTACCAAAAAATCGGCAGCTGGCCCCAAAAGTTTAAAAAAAACCCACCACAAGGCCCTTCTCGCTTGCTCCTCGTTTTTGATACCAATTTTGGGTGCACGAGGTCCAACTTCCAGTTTTCACAAAAAAAAAGGAATCACCGCACGTACAAACACAACATATGCGTACGTGGTAAACAATTTATTTTGAAAAACAACGTCATTGTTGTAAATAAAAGCTGATGACGATCATGATGATGATGATGATGATTGGCAAATCCGAACTGAAAAAAGAAAAAATAAATTAAAATTTGTGACGTTCTCATCGGGGGGCTGAGGGTGTGGAGGGAGAGGAAAAAAAAAGATGAAATCTCTCGTACGCATCACAAAGGAACAATAAATGTTCTCTTCTTATTCGCCATTTTCCAATCATTTTCAATTTTGTCGTCTGCTTGTCAACGGACAATCGACACGTTGCCTA